GTCATAAATCACATGCCCCAATCAGTTTGAAACGCAGGCTCTCCCTCCTGTTCTCCAGCCCGCCAATTCTTATTTCAATAACCTTGATTCTCACGCTAGGTCCAGTGTTGCTATGTCTCGCTAAACGCTCGTGCACGTTCCTCCCCCCAGCATCATCTAACTAAAAGTAAAAGCATAAGGAGAAAAGGGTTGCATCTCCATCTGTTGTCAAAGCAAGAACATCCAATTTTAGCGGCGTTGACATCAGGGAGGAAGGAAGGGAGGGAGAAGAAAGGAAGGAGACAGAAGAAGGAAGGAAGGAGAGAAAAAGGAAAGGGAGAAGAGGAAGAGGAAGGAAGGGGAGAAAGGAAGGGAGAAGAAAGGAAGGAAGGAGAAGAAGGAAGGAGGGGAAGGAAGGAGAAAGGAAGGGAGAAGAGGAAGGAGAAAGGAAGGGAGAAGAAAGGAAGGAAGGAGAAAGGAAGGAAGGAGACAAGGAAAGAGAAGAGAAGGAAGGAGAAAGGAAGGGAGAAGAGGAAGGAGAAAGGAAGGGAGAAGAAAGGAAGAGGAATGAAGGAGAAAGGAAGGAGACAAGGAAAGGAAGAGAAGAGAAGAAGGAAGGAGAAAGGAAGGGAGAAGAAGGAAGGAGAGAAAGGAAGGAAGAAGAAAGGAAGGCAGGGAGAAAAAGGAAGGAGGAAGGGAGAAGAGGCAGGAAGGAGAGAAAAGGAGAGGAAAGAAAGGAAGGGAGAAGAAGGAGAGAAAGGAAGGGAGAAGAGGAAGGAGAGAAAGGAAGAGGAATGGAGGAAGGAAGGAAAGGGAGAAGAAGGGAGAAGAAGAGGAAGGAAGGCAGGAAGGAGAAAAAGGAAGGAGGAGGAAGAGAGGAAGGAAGAAGGAGACGAAGGAGAAAGGAAGGAAAGGAAGAAGGAGGAAGGAGAAAGAAAGAAAGACAGCCTGCCTTTTTCTCTTTCAGAGCCCTTGTACGATCCGGTCAGCGAGGAGGACAACCCCCTGGCCATCAGTCTCAAGCAGCTCCGTCTGAAGAAGAGGTCCGGCCCGGGGCCCAAGGCCGGGCTCCCCCTTGCCAAGCCCTCCGCCTGCGTCTCGGGCACCCAGGTGGGCGAGCGCCTCCTCCTGCCCCGCTCCAAAGGGGGGGGCGGCGGCGGCCCCCCCGCTCACGAGGTGACCCTCATCGACTTTGGCGACGAGCCCCCCAGCCCGTCCCCCGTCGGGGACTTCTGCGCCCCCTCCTTGGCCCGCCTAGCCATGGAGGCCTTCTCCTTGTTGGACAAGACCCCTCCCCAGAGCCCCTCGCAGGCCCTGCCCCGCCCCTTGCACCCCACGCCCATCGTGGACTGGGACGCCCGGCCCCTCCCTCCGCCCCCCGCCTACGACGACGTGGCCCAGGACGAGGAGGACTTTGAGGTCGACGCCATCAACAGCGCCGACGGGCGGGTGGGCCGGCCGCGGGGCCGGAGCTGGGCCAAAGGGGAGGTCAACGGCGGCTTGGCCGCCCCCGAGGGAGACCCCCGCCCCGCTCTCCCCTTGGAGGACAACCTCTTCTTGCCCGCCAAGGAGAGCAAGCAGCCCAGCCCGGCCCAGACCACGGAGATCTTCCAGGAACTGCAGCAGGAGTGCATGAAGCACCTCAAGGTGCCCCGGGGTGGACCTTCCGGGGCCGCCGTCCCGAGTCC